TATTATATTCTTGGTTCTTCCGGTAAAGTCACGTTGAAGGGAAACAATAAAATAATAAAATATATATAAAACAATAAAATTCTCACGACGTTTCGACTGCAACACAAGCAGTCATCATCAGGTGTGAAAACCAACGGCAAGAACATTTGAAAGAGGTGGCGGTTTGTATTTATTTATTTTTAAACGTTAGCACCACGGATAGCGATGTAACAGTTTGTTTAGATGGACGAGTCCATCTATGTTCGGAAAAGAGGAGGGGGGAGACGAAAAATTAATGTATGCTGTCTGAAAGCCACCATAAGCGTGAACAATCAATTAAGACCCGAAATGGTTTATCAAATCCTTCCAATGATTGCTAAGCCAGAATCCATCTTCTTGGTTGAAATTGTCTCTGTATATTTGGATAGCCTCATGAACGAATCTCTCATGTAAGCCAGATGGCTTGCAAAGAACCTCTGTCTTGGAGAAGTCAATGTCATGTGAGCCTACTGAATTATAACAGTGATCTGCCACGGCTGAGGTGTTGGTCCTACCGTGTTTAAGGTCTGCTTTGTGTTCACGAATGCGGTCTGAGAAATGTCGTTTGGTTTCTCCAATGTAACTACTACCACAGAGGCAACTAAGTTTGTAGACACCAGGGTACTGTATGTCCGGAATCACATCTTTTACAGACGGAACCAGATCACGGATTTTATGGAATGTGTTGAAACGGACCTGGATCTTGTTTATTCACGATTTTGGAGATCTTTTTTGTGATCCCCGCAATGTAGGGTAAAGTGATGGTTTTGAAAAGCTCCTCAAGAGGGTCCTTCATGGTTTGAGTGATAGCTTTGCGGATTGTATAGTCGGAGTAACCATTAGCCTTAAGAGCTTGGTGTACGTGCTTGAGTTCACTGCCTATGTGTTCCTGGTCGGATATGCATTGGGCTCTATGGTGCAGTCTTGATGAGAGAATTCTTCTGTGAAACCGGATTTCCACCACCATCCATCACAGAAGAATTCTGTGACCATAACTCAAACGGTCGTCTTCAGGTGTGAAGACGACCGTTTGAGTTATGGTCGAAATGTCGTGAGAATTTTTTTATTGTTTTATATATATTTTATTATTTTGTTGTTTCTCTTCAACGTGACTTTACCGAAAAAACTAAGAATATGAATTACTGCAGTCACGAAAGCTTTAAATCAAAATAGATGGACTCGTCCATCTAAACAAACTGTTACATCGCTATCCGTGGTGCTAACGTTTAAAAATAAATAAATACAAACCGCCACCTCTTTCAAATGTTCTTGCCGTTGGTTTGCACACCTGATGATGACTGCTTGTGTTGCAGTCGAAACGTCGTGAGAATTTTATTGTTTTATATATATTATTATTTTATTGTTTCCCTTCAACGTGACTTTACCGGAAGAACCAAGAATATGAATCACTGCAGTCACGAAAGCTTTAAATCAAAAGGTATTTTACTCTCGCATCTCCAATTAGCACAGTTAGCTACGTTCGGTGCGAAAGTTCAACATACATAGTCTCTCATAGTTTGCGTGAAGTTCAGGGCAAGCATCATTATTAAAAGCAATGAACACAAATGGGCAACATTGTTTTCAAGCTTAGCGTAGGGTCTAAACTAACCAAAAACGTGTGATTTTATAGAGGCAATTCACTTTAAAGCTGAATTTTAAAATTAATGTGGAACGTCAACAGACGGTGCAATAACCGCTGGTTGGTTGTGCCGTGTACCATTGCGCCACCTACTGGCAGAGCGCGCGTCACAGGAGATGCCCAACCACGGCTTGCCATGCGCCAGCCAAGCGACTCTCAAACCCGTGCTGTGGCTTGTCACGTGGGCCTTCATCAGCAAATAAACCACAATGAGCATACCCCTTATCTGCGTTTCTGCGAGTTTATTGTAAAAGGGTTGTATGTACAACTGAACAATTTTAACTTCTACAAATGTTATAAAAGTTTACAAAATTGACAGAGAAGTAAAGGTTTTTTGGTTTAGATCGTGTAAATGTGTTAAACCACCACCACGCGACACAACCAATTCGTAAGGTTTGTCATGACAACAAAACGTGCTAATTAGTTACTTCTTCAGGACACCGGTGTGTTGGAGAGTAAACCCACAACCACCTACAATTTGAGTACGGCGATTCGCTGGTGATTATAACCAGCCTTATCAGGCGATTTACCAGAATTGTGAAGTCTTCCTGTTTCGGTCTTAAATAAAGGTGGTTTCATCACTGTGAGCCGATGAGGCGCGAAAACTTCGGTGTGCTGAAGTAACTAATGGGCATGTTTTACTCTTGATTCGAAGCTTTCGTGACTGCAGGAATCCATACTCTTTGGTTCTCTCGGTAAAGTCACGTAGGTAGAAAAATAATAGATCACGACGTTTCGATCGCAACACAAGCACTCGTCATCAGGTGGGACAGCCACAACAATAAAAAACTGGCATGTTTTTTTTACGCGACAAATCTTACTAAACCTTACTAGTTGGCTGTGTCAGGTGGCGGTGGTGGTTTAACAACACATTTATATTAAAGCGATTTAACCCAAAAAAACATTATTATGGATATTAGTCAGGGAAACCTAAGTATTCAATTTACTTATAATAAATTAGGATTTTTTCTGCACAAGAGAAGATGGAAGAGTATCAATTTCACCAACGATCACATAATTGTAAATTACTGCAGTGGGGTACTTGTGGTTGAGCATCACAGCTCTGATAATAATAATTTAAACTTATAATATGCCACACAGGATTAACTCACTCTCAAAGGCAGAGAATAACTCAAGAGGCACGACGAACCACAGATAAGCAAGAAATCTGCCACATGGTAGCCCATACAAACAATTGCCCATGTTCTGCGGTCTTCGATATATGAAGTTATTATTGGCCAATTATTGCTTGTTTACACACGTGGGTGGAAACTGGAGCACATGGAGAAAACCACACCCGCAAGAAACGAATCACTCTATACCACACAGAAGGAAAATGTGAAGTGCACGTTTGCTGTACTGCATCCGTTGGCAAGTCTATAAAACTATTTTTTAAAAAGATTTATTTTACTAGTAAGGCCCACCAACCATTTAGATCTTTTTCAGAAGTGACCTGGTCACAGATGATAGCTCAATGAAGTCGGTTATCATGTGGAAATGTATAGCAGCCATATACTCTCAAAGCATGTTTCTAAACGTGGAGAGAAAAACATGAGGACCTGGAGAAAAATCCACGTGACCACAGGGAGAACGAGCAAAATCTAAATATACAACAGGCGGGATCGAACCCACAACCTCCTTTGTACCAGGCGAAGTAGTTACCATATCCTCAGCTTGGCACCCTAAACTCAGAATATTGCACTTTGACACCCACGGGAAGGGAATTTCACAATACTTATGTGATCTACCAACCCTCGCCTCCACAGTGCTGGACTACATGCATATGCTGCTGCCACCACCACTCGTTAAATGATGGCCATACCATAGACCGTTGTAAACCCTTTGGTCTTTAGCCGAATGAGCCATGAACATGAAATGACCACCATCTGTAGAACCATCACAGTGCCGAGAGCGAAGGAGTGGAGGCGAGGTCACTGGGATGCTGGTTGCCCTTCTTGATCTTTGGATTCGGAGCTGCAGCAACGACAGAGAGATCACGCCACGTTACATGGGGACGAACAGCGCAATCCCAGCGCAATCCTTACAGAGGCAACGCCGCCTGAGCAAGTGACACCGGGGCTTGTGGAAGTGAGCTTCAACATCTCGACGACGTCACGCCATGGCGCAGCAGTATGTGGAACACACCGGGTGACACGTCATCACGGTTTCATGAGAAACCCACGAATCGCCGTACTCACAGATTGTAACTTACAACAGCCGACCAATGCTGCTGAACGTGAAGCTGTGGTGATTATTTGTGAGAAATGGAAATGCAGTGGGTCCCTCAGTTCATTATATTAAATGGTTCCAGAAAAACCATCGCTAACTGAAATGATCATTAATCGAATATAGGAAATACATGTTAAAGTGCTTAATTTGTTCCAAGACAATCGGAAGTTGACATTTTTCACCGTATAAAACATAGTTTATAATATTTAAACACGCAATTTTAATAAATAAACGTTATAACAACATATTAAAGCATTAATATGATTAGAAACATGGATACATAATATAGCAATAAAAGGCGCATAAATAATGCTTAAAATAAAATTCTTACCTGAGGCTAAGAAGATGGATGGCTTAATGGGTTGATAGAGAAGTTAAGGCTCATAAACGGGCGTCGCTAATTGGCTGAGGTCTGATAAGTTCACTTAGAAGCTCCGATTGGCCGAAATTGGTGGTACACGTGATATCGTAAACATATCGCTAATCAAAAATGTATTAATAGAAACAATGGGACTCTATGGGAGGCGGATCGTTAAGAAAAATATTGTTAATCAACCGAGAGGCCACTGTATAATTCTATATTTGACAATTATGGCAAAACTATTTTGAGCTCAACAGATGCAGCGATCACTGCTGACCATGATAGCTTTTGCAAGAGAGATAAGGCAAGTGAGCTGTACCATTAATTCAAGTTAAGTGAATGTGTGTGTTTTAACTGCAGAGATTTCCCAATATTTTAAGCTGAGGCAATATATATCCGTGAAAACAATTGCATCCATGATGGGCACGGCAGGGAGACACTGCCCATCCAACAGAGCTCAACTACAATTGATGATCCCATACCTCCGAAAGCATGGTTGGCTACACAAGGTACGAAATAAATTTAACATACATATATACAAAATGCAACTGTTTCCCTGTCACCAAATTAGTTTGCATATTCTCTAGGATTCACAGCTATGAAGAGCTGTCGATTCACTGGCCCTAACACTTTCACAGCAACGAGGGTGACAAATGAGAATGTTCACTGGAGTATCATAAGTGGTGGTATGTTTTAAATGCCATGTTAGATACCATGATGTACACCATGTTATTATTGTTGCATAAGTTAAAACACATATAGATACATAATAACACAAACCAGTCTGGGTGTGGGAACAATGACTGCAAACTATATAACATGTCCATGTGCAGTAGGAACGTAACAGAGGATTTCTCCACAAATCTGGCTATAGCCTGATGAAGCTAGTTGGAATAATTTGCGAAACGTCGTACTCAGATTGTAAATGTTGTGGCTTTGCTCTCCAACACACCGGTGTGCTGTACTAGTAACGAATTGGCATGTTCCGCTTACGTGAATAACCTTACTAATTGGCTGTCGGGTGGTGGCAGGGTTAACAATACATTTATATATTTATGCAATCTAACCAAAAAAACCCGTATTATGGATGAAATTGGTCGCGAAAGCCTACGTGTTAAACTAGTAAGAGCAGCTTGAAATGCAGGAGTAAGGTTGGCGTAGTGGAAGCACTGACCATTGGGGTTTTGTCCCTTGTAGAAGGTTTTCAGCATGTCCACTGCCTCCTCGGAACGCACCCCTGACACACACTGCATCACACACACATTACACACCAACTCGCTTAGTTGCAAATTGCCTGTTGCTACAGTGTTTCATGTTATTATTAGTAGTATTGTCCCCAATTATATTATAATCATGTTATTGAGTTGTCATGAGACAAGAGACATTTTCATTATGAACTCTCACAGCGAGAAGGGCACCACCCCTATGTCAGGCCCCAGCAAACTGACACCCATCCCGAAAAGTGATGTCGAGGATATACTTTTGAAAAGTCACTTCACCTGGCCTCGTATGCATGAGGAGCACTGACACACGCCTGGTGAGCAGCCTGAAAATAAGTGATTGTGTCATGTGACTGAAACTGACTTTGTTTTCAGAAACGGAAAACCATAAGTGACAAAAAACTATTTCAAATGAATGGGTTTTCTGTGCAGTCACTGGTGACCCTACTGTGACCAGCAACACACTGCACTTGATAGCCCGGTTTAACAGAGGGCGGCTGCCTAGATTTGAACCCAGGATCTGAGCTGTGCTAGCTCAGCCCTCTGACACAGCATGAGCCACTTAATATTTTCCTGCATTTCAAATATCAATATTTAAAATGTGTTGCACATCACAATACGGGACATGACAATATTTACAAAGCACACATCATAACTCTTCCTTAAAAAATATACTGAAGCAGATTAGTGCTGGATACAATTGCATTTGCAAATATGATTTGCAACTTTTATCCTTACCCATGTATCAAAAGTTAAATGTTTATGTGGAATTTTATTGAGGGACTGTGTGTTCTTCTTTGGTTCTTTCGGTAAAGTCACGTAGAATGAGAATAAAATAATAAATTGATAAAATAAAATAACACAATAATATTCTCACGACGTTTCGGCCACAACACAAGCGGCCTTCATCAGGTGGAATTTTATTGAGGGACTGTGTGTTGTGGCCGAAACGTCGTGAGAATATTATTGTGTTATTTTATTTTATCAATTTATTATTTTATTCTCATTCTACGTGACTTTACCGAAAGAACCAAAGAAGATGAATCATTGCAGTCACGAAAGCTTTAAATCGGGACTGTGTGTTGTCTGGGACTGTCGTTTTGCTGCCTTGCTCAAGCTTGGGAATGAGAGTACTTATGCAATTTGAACCATGCCCAAGAGGCGCTCATGACTCCACTCTGAGGAAACGACGCTGTCCACCCTGGATTTTACAATCTCAGGTAACACGTGGAGAGGAGAATTCGTTGATGGCAGTTGCAACACCAGCTCCATTAGATCATACCATGCGCCTGTGCAGCCTCTTAGCAGAACAGGTCTGGTGGGTGCCCAGCATTGGCAAATTGTGTCGTGCTGCCCTTACATTCCATTCATCCATTAAGCCACAAACAGGCATCACCTAAAAAAATTGAAAAGACCAAGTCAAGCTTGTTGCAGTCTAAAACTTGGGCCAAGAGCTGCCGTTGATCACGCCACATGCATTTAATATGCTACTAAATACACCACAATGCATATCGAACAATTACTCCATAATCAAGAGAGAAGCGGTCTTATGTCATGGACATGTAAACAGGACGAGTGGTGACAGGCCAACGCGCACGATGTTGCAAGCAACAGGAGGCTTCAGAGGCCGTGGCAAAACAGCACATCAGCTGTTTAGATACACTGCATATTCATATACCGTATACTCGCCAGAGCTCACTCGAATATATATTGTTGTACATATCATTCATAGTTTATCTTTGTGTTCATTCATTGCATGCATATATGCACAGATTATTATTTTGATTGTGTTATTTGGTTTGGAATTTGGATTTGTTTGGATATTTCGTGATAAAATATAATAATCAAATTTTTGTTGTTTGTTAGACATTCTATTGCAATGTTGTGAAGCTGACAACTTAAGCTTTTCACTGCACCCACTATAACATCAGCTTAACTGTGTATGCGACCAATACAATTTGATTGATTGATTGAAAGCGACATCACAGAATGGCGCAAGAGGAGTAGACAGATCAGTGAAGAAGCACAGAACAGAACAGATCCTGGAGGCAGTGAAACATTGAGGCAGCAAGGGCAGATGTTCCCCAATGGTCGCGAAGAACACGGACACTGAAGAAGCATGCCTCTGTTATGTGATGACGAGGGCAATGCGATGGCATCATTCCACCTCCGCATTTCACCGTTCAAATGCCTTTTGCTCGGGGCTTCAGACGCACACCCTCCCTGGCTCACACCTGGAACGTTGAGCCTGTGTGGGGCAGCTCTGCTGAGTGAATGCTCATGACGGAGCCACAGCCCCCAAAGCGCTCGTTCCGGCAGCCGCAGACCACGCGGGGCAAGCCTGGAGGTTGCAGTCAAGGAGCCTGCGCAGCTGTGTTCCACTCCACGCAAGAGAGCGTGAGGCACCCTATGGTGCGCTTACTGCTGGAACAGCCTTACAGGAAGCAAGAAGTATAAACAAATATCTGCATCGGCCTATTGAAAAGCCAATAGGCTGATGGGACTCAAAACATTTTTTTTATATGCGGAGGCATGGACAATACACAAAATACATAAATATATAATTGTTTATATAATATACTATTTTTAAATGGCCACCCTTGCTATCCTCATCTTCCCCATTCTCTCTTTAATCAGGCTCAATAGACTGATGAATTTGGCATGCTCATTTGACACCGTGTTGGTTTGCACACTGCCCCAACTGCACGTGACTGGGGAGCTGCCCATAACATTGTGGAGCCTCTTATAGCGGCTGCTGGGAGGTGGCGTGACCACGCCAACTAAACCCGATGGCGTAACGATCGAGTGGTCGAGCATTTCGGACCGAGCTGTGATAGCCAAAGTCAGAGCTAGTAGACGGAAAGCAGAGGTGGCGCTCGGCCGGGCGACGGTGGATACGAAGGAGCCGCAGGGAGGCAGCGCACATCACGCAGGGCTCCACGGTCACGTAGAGGCTGCAGGCCTGCAGCACGCCAGCCGGGGCGAGGCCCTGGGCGCGGCACCACTCCAGCGCCTCGTCCAGTGCCACCAGCTCGGCGTGACGCGTTGCCTGGCAGCAGGGTTGGGGGGGGGGTAGTGTCACCACGCATCACGTAACCATCCACACCTCCACCCCACAATTTCATTTCAAGCATCCAATGTTTTTTTGTCTCGATTGTATCTGTATTGCTTTTGTGCAGTCTGTACACAGATAAAAGAAAGAGGGACATGTGGATTAGAGATCGTACGCAAGGTATGGACATCATTGTGACTGCTAAGAGCTATGTGGGATTTTGCAGGAGAAGTTGCGCGAAGAGATTCTGCTGGCCACTGGTCAAGTAAAATAATCGAGTGGCAGCCAAAGGAGAGATCACACCTTAGAAGACATCCATTGCACAGATGGCAGTGATTAAATTATCTTGTGTGTGTGAGCTGGATGTAAGGTTGGATTGCAAGACCATGACTGATGGCGATGGCTTGAGGAACCTTTATCCAGGAGTAGATCGATCATGGCTCATGACGAAAGTCTGCCTCATATACTGTCGTATTTCATGGTTATTTTGATTAATAGTCTGCGAGTAGGGGGGGGGGCGACAATTGCTGCGTAGAATTCCAATCGAGTAATTTGCGGCGTAATTTTCCAATTTGGAGAATGTGGATCCAGACGCCAGCACACAGTGGCCAACTCTTGCAAATTACATCCAGAGGCTCATTAGCGACTATTGTGAAGCAAAGAGTGCACGGTATTATTGCCGCTATCACACACCGCGGTAATAATGAGGGTGGACGCTGATTTTTAAACAAACGGCGAAGGTGCTACCGCTGGCCCACTGCGTAACTGCTCCAAATTGAAGTCTCAATCAATCCGAACGAACGTTTAAAGAAACAACTTGCATTGCACTTATAATCAGTTTTCATAGTTTGGAGTTTATTTTAATCAGGTGAGAACACACCAGAACAGGAGAGTATCGTTTGCAAGAGACCTGGGGCACACATCTGCACTGATCATCATGGTAAAGTATGGTCGAATAACCCTCATGACCTGTGCAGGGACGAGAAGGCCCTCTTATAAAGCAGTAGACTGACCAAAGGAATGTGCACGTGCACATATGGAAATGTGACCTGGGCGAGAGCATCATGGGACACATTTCCATATGGTGTGAAATAAGTTCAACGTACATACGAAAGGGAATGCGTGGCAGCTGCGTGTCCGCGCGTCGTCCCGCCAAGCTCACGTTTTTTGTTTCGTTGACTTGGTTGCGCCCGCGCCCTATGACATGTCCCGCGTACACCACGAGGCAGCCGACTGGCACCTCCCCCCGCGCCAGGGCCGTTTGTGCCTGCACACACACATAACCCCCGCATGGCCTCAGCAGACTGTTGGGGCAATTGCTGTTAGCGAGCCCGTTAAGGCCGACAGGCACATGAGGGGGTTAGTGGACAGCACCACACCCGGCCACCTTTGTCTCCCCAGTGCTGATGTGTACATACCACACATGGTACTGATTTAAGGCCGAGCTGACCTCAGGAAGGTCCAGGAACCGTTCAGATAATCATCAGCGATGGGTGTGAGCAGGAATCCAACTTAGGTAGCTGGGTTCATAGTGTCATGGATGGCCAACAAATATGGCCATCCATGGATGGCCAACAAATATGGCCATCCATGGCACCGTACTTCATCTCAAGTTACGCTAATGGGTTTCCTTATAATCCTACACAGGACCAAGTCTCATGCGGCTTCTTAAGCAGACAGTTGTTCCCATAGTCCTACGTGCTTGCGTAAAGATTGCAGCCTTCAGTACGGTTATAGGACGAATGGTCTAAGGGCTGCTCCCCCCCCCCTCATCCCCGATCCTCCCCCTGTGAGCCACCCAACCTCCGCAACAGACACCACACTCTCACACCTTCATTTGCCTCCCCCACAAAACTCCTTAAAGCATCACCCCCTCCACTAAGATTCGTCCACTTATAACGTTCACCCTCTGTGTGGGTCCCGAACTCCGTTATATGCTTTACGCCTCACATCCCCCCACCTAACCCCCATCTGATTGCATGCTGTACCTTCCCGTTTTTGTTTCTGTTCAATAAAATACTTCTGGTAAAGATTACAGTACATCTCAAGCTCTTCCCTATTTTGCCGAATCTTCAATCTTAGCTGCCTGACAGTAAAGAAATTTACCAAAATTGTGGGCTGCCTAGGGCAAGTGTGAGGCTTTTTAGTTAAAATACCACACTATGACATTGTGGTGTAGTAACAGTTATGTATTAGACAGTGTCATCCGAAACAGCTTCACACATTCTAGCTCTGCATTATTGTTGTTGCGCGTTACAGCTAAATGGCAAGCCAGTGGTTCCCAATCTCTCGAGGTCACATGGGCCACTGTCAACCCTCAAACATCCCTCCCATGCCACCATGCACCAATAATATTTTTTTATGTAAAACGACTCTAATTCATATAATCTGCAACAGTTCCGCAGACCACTTGCCACAGCCATGCGTACTACCAGAGGTTAAACAGACCACAGGTTGGGAAACACTGCAGTGTGGTATTCTGCAAGTTTCAAACATTATTCACAAAACCACTAACTAAACTGAGAAATCTATGTCTCTCTGTGCTACATCACACTGTGCATTGTTGGTGACCATTATAAATTAATGCATACACAAGTCATGGCAGTCTCCTGTTTCAGTCAGGCTCCACGATATGAGATGACAATTTTATTTTTTACTAAAACTTTTATTTGTTGCATTGTTGATGGACTATACTCTGGACAGTATATTTTGTGGAAAAGATTGGCAAGGATGTTTGTTTGTATCACATTGTCTAAAAGTTATTAACACCCAATGTGTACTAATAAGCAGGGATGACTGGCTCTGATTTGCTAACCAGTTTATCCCTCTATTCATGTTCTCAATACAATTTGAGATGATGAACAGTGCTGAGGAATCGAGTGGATGTGTCGTGGTGGCGGTGGTGGCGGTGGTGGCTGCCGCATGCTAGTGGCCTGAACAGCAGAGGAGCACCATGTTGAATGCTTGCTGCATCCACTCGTCAGTCTCCGAGCCAGGCTCTCCAGGGTTCATGGCTCAGCGATCTCTGGGTGGCTCAGTGCTGCCCTCGAATGCAGATGTTCCCTAAAGTCACGGATAGCAACACACAATTCCCAAACTAGTGTGATTATATTATAAATGCTCACATTATAAATACAGGGTGGCCCAAAAGTCAGGACACATAAAGTTATTATATTTATTTGTAAATCGCATAGGGCAATTTTATTTATTTTACCAAATCACAGGGTTATTTCATTTATTTAACAAATGTCCAAACCTCTTCTTCATCCGTATGGCTGATATATGTGCAGAGCAAGAGCTGCATGCTCACCACCTGTGAAATGTTCACTGACTTCCATGAACATTAATGCATGTATTTTATTTTTAAATTAATATAGCACTTATTTTTTTAGATTACAGGTAGAGGTTTAATATTTGAACATTTAATTGCTTTGTAAATGTTTAAAAAAAAATATTTTAATGTCATCTGTGAAGAAAACATTATTCTTTGGGTCTTTCAGTAAAGCCACATAGATAGAAAAGATATACAAATATCACGTTTCCATCGCAACACAAGCAATCGTCATCAGGTGAAAAAAGTTATAGCGGGAGAGGTGCTGAAGCATGATGTTATATAGGTTTGAGATGGGTTTAGCCCAAGGGTAAGTGGTGGGGCTAGAGGTGGCTCCAGTTCACTGGCTAGGTGGTGATGGTCGGAAATACACTGAGCTCTATGGTGTAGAGTTTTGATGAGGGAATTATTCTGGGATGGATGGTGGTGGGAGTCAGGTTTTAGGTAGGCATCTGTAAGGGTGGCTTTCCTGTAGACAGAGTGTCCCATTGAGCCATCTGGTCTCTTTTCGAATAACACATCCAAGAATGGTAACTTTCCATCCTTTTCCACCTCCATGGAGAATTTAATGGCTGGGTGTATGGAATTGATGTGGTTGAAGAATTGGCCCAGCACTGGTAGGCAGCTGTTCCGCTATAATTTGTTTTCACCTGATGACAATTGCTTTGTTGCTATCGAAACGTCGTGATATTTGTATTATTTTTCTATCTACGTGGCTTTACCGAAAGACCCAAATAATATGAATTCCTGCAGTCCCGAAAGCTTTAAGTGAAGAAATCGATATTCTTTTATTTTTATTCACTTTATTTTTTCTTCTACTTACGTGACTTTACAAAAAAAACAAAGAATTAAAAACAAAACTAACTTTAACCATAAACAATTAAACATTTTCAATGACAGCGTTAAAATAAAGTCATAATCCTGTCTTGACTTTTGGGACACCGTGCACATAATCTCACATCCTACACGTAGAGTACACATCAACATACATCATCACATGGAGCTCGTCTCTGATTCTGGTCCTGGCAGGGGGCCAGTACGGGGTGCCTCTCAAAGTTCAAGGTTACTGCTTCATTAGCTTGCCTGTTACACTGCGAGTTTAAAGGCAATCCCTCAACATCGACTCGTTGCGCCAACGAAGTTGAAAAACGCACGACAGCCAACACACACAGCCATGGCAAAGACGCATAGGAGGAATTCTGAGCAACTTGTAAATTATTAAGACAGTGCAATAACTTTCTCAGCTGTTGACTTTTACACCAAGAATAACGAGTAGAGATCGCAGAAAACTGAGACTTCATTTTTACAAATGCATATAGTGGGCACTCTAAGGGGCCAGTCTATCGATAGAACCAATTCAGATTTCCTACCAGGTCGGTATTACCCCAGTGTGACGATAGTCATTATGGCAGCAAATTAACCGCCTCTGAATGTATCACATTAGGGTGGTTCGTGGTCTACTGCAGGGGATCGATAACCAAAATAAGAGCCATTTTTTTCGAATTCGGTAAAAGAAAAACACTCAATATTTGAATAGCTGCAGTGCACGTGCAGAAGAGTTCCCGACGCCTCGGAGACGAAGGTGAAGATTAAGGGCTTGCGCCGTAAGTTTATTAAGGGCTGATGCCAATAAACACAGGGATACACTTCCCCACAAGGGTTGAGAGTCCTAGGCTGGGTACTATCTGTACCTCCCGCAGCTGGCTGCCCCGTGCTGCCTCCTCTGCGCCGGCCGTGGGTTCAGCCAACAACGGCCGACCGAGGAGCACAGCCACACCTAGCCCTTACGCTGCGGTAACACAGATCTCTATCCCCTTGCCCCTGGCCCTCCATTGCACCCTACTCAATCCCTTGTCTCCAGCTACGACCCCGCCCTACGTCACGGGCTCTGCTTTAAGTACCCTTGCGGGACATGACGTCATCCCGCCCCCCAGGTGGGCATGACGGCAATTGCCGTGACGTCATCGCCCCCGGAGGCGACCGTGACGTCATGTCCGCAACTAGTCCACGTAGTGAATACGAAACGATGGGTACTTCTTTGGTTCTTTCGGTAAAGTCACGTAGAATGAGAATAAAATAATAAATTAATAAAATAACACAAGTGGCCTTCTTCAGGTGAAAGGCCACTTGTGTTGTGGCCGAAACGTCGTGAGAATTTAATTGTGTTATTTTTTTAATTTATTATTTTATTCTAATTCTACGTGACTTTACCGAAAGAACCAAAGAATATGAATCCTTGCAGTCACGAAAGCTTTAAATCGAAAGATGGGTACTTCATCAATAACATCACTAAGCGGTCCTTCAAGAGCTGCATGCGGCTCCAGAGCCGCAGGTTGCTGACCCCTGGTCTATGGTGTTCTAACATCGCCGCCACCACTCGCAGTACTGTAAATTTATGCTGCTGCTTCTCATCCGGCTGAATGAGTAAGAGTAGTCGATGCTAAGTGATACCCAACAGCCGCCAAAGAATCATGAAGAATAGCCACCTCTCTCAATGCTCGGTGCTAGCACCGTCACTACTTAACACACAACACAGGCGACCTACCATGTACGCAATCCTTTAGGTTCATATATATGCAGATGACACACCCGTTACTGCCGAGGGCACGCACTTTGAGCACATTGCCAATGCGTTAACTGATCTGATGTACCTTGAAGCAATGTCCTGCGGTGGGCCAGTTCGCTATGACTCCACTCTAGGGGGTTATCATTGATAGCGGACTCACCTCTGCTACAAACGTGCGGTAATCAACCACCTTGGGCGCCTTAGGTGATGTGCTGCGGTGACGTCACCACGGCGATTGTGCCAGGCTAAGTGCGCGTTAAGGCCACGTGAAGTGTGTCGAACGCCCGCTGGCAGGTTACGGGATAGACCCAAGTGCCATGGGTTGAGTGAGATGACTGGCAGATGCACCAACTTGCTGTGCTTTCGCCTTCCGGGGCTCCACTCGTTGACGATGTGCTGTGGTCTACTGCTCAGTGGCAGTCGCTGCGCTCCAGCTTGGTCCAGCAGCTCATACATTAAACTGCCAGATGCAAACTTTGAACCAGCCACGGGACTTTACTGAAAGACCCAAAGAATATGGATATTAAATAACACAACGCGCATTGTAGGCGGAACACTTGAGACCACAGACATGCGAACTGCAACGCAGTTTACACGAGTTTACACTCAGGTCAAATAATACCTCGACAATGACACCATTTGTGCACACTCAAGCCCCAATCTCATCATCCCTATCTGGGATCCAACGTTGCAGTTAACGTCCAAAATTGCCACCTCAATGGTGAGTCCCAAACATCGCACCTCCTGACTTTGACTACTCCTACACTGGCGCAACCATCAACGCAAATCAGAACACCGAGAAGCGGATGCGCAACATCTCATTCACAAGTGGGGACTTGGAGGATAATCCGGTGAGATTGCCGCCATGCAAGCCAAACTATGGACCATATAGTAAACTCGAGACTCAAGACTCGTAGAGCTATTGAGACTGTGTAGTGGAACCAGTTTTCTGCGCTCCTTCAACGGAGGAATAGCAAAACGACAACGTTCTTCTGAACCCCCCTCTCAGTGGCTAGCAGACCTCCGCACTGGCATTGAGCAGCTCTGGAAGAACATTTTGCTCCTGTTGCTGCCATCACACGCAGGTAGTGGCGCAGAACGATCCACACTGGCAAAGTCTCCTCCTGAAAAGGACCCCCGTCTACGGGGGTAGCGCGCGGTGCCCCAGGGCCCCCACACACCACCGTGACATTGGTGGGATGTAATGGAAACCGGCTGCTTGTCCCGGCAACGCGGAGTAGTCGCAGCTGCGACACTTACGACGGCGTCCTGGGACTGATGAAGCTGCACGGTGAGACGCGACGCTCGCACGGGGGAGTTGGCAGGCAGCGGCGGCCGGAACTCGCGCGCGGGGCGCAATGGCCGCCATGTTGGGTAGGGGTGGTGGGCGCATGCGCAGAGCCGCTCTCCCTGAGCAACATGTCTGCCGGCATGGCGCCTTGGTCGTGAGCGGCGCGGCTGCCGATCCCGTGGGACCGAGGGAGCGGAAGACCCCCCAGGGACTGCCGAGCGAGCCGGTGGGGTGGCGGAAGAGGTCCCGGACTCGTGAGCTATGTTGACCGCACTCGGTGGATTCTTCAAGCGTCACCGCAGGAAGCTGATTTTCACGGGCGCCGTGATCGGAGGTGAAGAGAGGGGGAGGGAGTGTGAGCATGGCGGGGTGCGTGTGAAAGTGCAGAGCAGTGTGAGTGAGCAGAGCGGGTGAATGTGCAGAGCAGTGTGAGTGAGCAGAGCGGGGTGAGTGTGCACAGCAGTGTGAGTGAGTAGAGTGGGGTGAAAGTGCAGAGCAGTATGAGTAGAGTGGGGTGAGTGTGCAGAGCAGTGTGAGTGAGCAGAGCGGGTGAGTGTGCACAGCAGTGTGAGTAGAGTGGGGTGAATGTGCAGAGCAGTGTGAGTGAGTAGAGTGGGGTGAATGTGCACAGCGGTGTGAGTGAGTAGAGTGGGGTTAGTGTGCACAGCAGTGTGAGTAGAGTGGGGTGAATGTGCACAGCAGTATGAGTGAGCAGAGCGGGTGAATGTGCACAGCGGTGTGATTGAGCAGAGCGGGTGAATGTGCAGAGCAGTGTGAGTAGAGTGGGGTGATTGTGCAGAGCAGTATGAGTGAGCAGAGCGAGGTGAGTGTGCAGAGCAGTGTGAGTGAGCAGAGCGGGGTGAGTGTGCAGAGCAGTGTGAGTGAGCAGAGCGGGGTGAGTGTGCACAGCAGTATGAGTGAGTAGAGTGGGGTGATTGTGCAGAGCAGTATGAGTGAGCAGAGCGGGTGAATGTGCAAAGCAGTGTGAGCGAGTAGAGTGGGGTGAGTGTGCACAGCGGTGTGATTGAGCAGAGCGGGGTGAGTGTGCAGAGCAGTGTGAGTGAGCAGAGCGGGGTGAGTGTGCAGAGCAGTGTGAGTGAGCAGAGCGGGTGAGTGTGCAGAGCAGTGTGAGTGAGCAGAGCGGGTGAGTGTGCACAGCAGTGTCAGTGAGCAGAGTGGGGTGAATGAGCAGAGTGGGGTGAATGTGCAGAGCAATGTCAGTGAGTAGAGTGGGGTAAATGTGCAGAGCAGTGTGAGTAGAGTGGGGTGAAGTGCAGAGCAGTGTCAGTGAGTAGAGTGGGGTAAATATGCACAGCGGTGTGAGTGAGCTTCGTAGTGATTTGAAGCTTTCGTGACTGCAGGAATCCATACTCTTTGGTTCTTTCGGTAAAGTCACGTAGGTTTAAAATAAATCACGACGTTTCGGGCGCAACACAAGCGTCCGTCATCAGGTGGGAAAGCATGGTCTGCTGCTGAGGCAGACTGTTTTAAAAGGTTTGAAATGGGTGCAGCTCAAGAGCCATAAAGAAGTGGCCGGGGCTAGTGATGTTAATGTGAGGAATTAGCATGTAACTGTAAGATATAGAGAGCGGCCTCCTAGACGATGGCACGGAGGTGGCTATGTTAATGTGAGAGATTAGCATGTTAATGTGAAATCGAAGAGTGGTGCAATCCAAAGGCATGAGTGCAACCCAAAGGGTGCGATCCAAAGGGCATGTGCGTACGAGAGTGCAATACAAAGGACATGTGAGCATGAGAGATCTAAGAAAGAGGCATGGAGAGAGAGAGAGAGAGAGACAGAGAGTCGGAAATAACAGCTGACATAGGCAGGTAGGATGGTACATCACAGGCAGTTAAGACTTTACCTGATTAATAACATCCTCCCAATGATTGCTCAGTTTGTACCCATCCTCTCGGTTTAAGTTGTGTCAGTGTTTATATATCTGGATGGCTTCATGAACAAATTTCTGAAGGTAGCCGGTTGGTTTGCCGAGTACCTTCGTCTGTAAATCATCATGGACTTTGTGAAGCAGTCTCCTGCGGGGTTGCCACATGGCAGGAGCGTGATGTGGTCCTTGGCCACCTTATAACCCAGAGCAGGCTTTTCTTTTTTGGATAGAAAGGTAGGGATGATATCCTCCTCCAAAATAATCCCGTCTCATCTGCATTAAAGACCTGCTCAGGTCGATATCCTTTCTCGATTTACTTTTTCAATTCCATCGGGTGATGATCCGCCGATGCTGCTTTGCCTGCGAACTCGACGTTATGAAGGCCGTAATGCCGTTTAAAAATTTAAAACCAGCCTTTGCAGGCTCAAAACTAGGGGCAGGCTTGGCTGAACTGCCGGATTCATTGTGCGTGTTGCTTGAAGAGCTGCATTGCTTTTGCACGTGTCACAGGACCACTCAATGATACTTATTTTTTTGCCTTTCAATCCAAATATTTAATGCCTTTTCCATGCATTCTATAGTCACAAGATTGCAATGCCACTTTAACACTTTGAGGAGCACTTGCCTTGACACTTATGAATATTATTTTCACAGTTTTGAATATACTGCACAGTTGATTCGTTTTCTTCTGTAATGGCGGCCCACAGATGCCGCACTTTCTCCTCTAGCTAACCAATCTAACAACTCTGTTTACTTAAGGTCATGACTGCCTTTTAGCAATACTATCACTCTTATCCACTGGTTTATGCTTAGGACCCATAGGTACAAAAAACTGCCTCGCATCCCTCTCCCGCCCCGCACAATGTTGTCAGCGACGCCATCGCCGGCTTCTTGAGTGATATTGTACTAAAGTGTACAGCGTACCCGCGAAAGGCTAAAACTAACCTCCGCAATAATTTAATTGGTGTACAAAGAGGGCCCCCACGATAAGTCCAAACCACGAACGATAAACCCACGATATTCAAGGGTCTCCTGTATATATTTTTTCTCTTGCAGTTGCCCAACTCAACACAAGCCTGAGTAAAATTCTTAATTTGTTTTTACCATCGTTTAGTCTGACTGGAGAGTTGGGAGGGGGGGCGGGGCAGGGGTTTGCAGCAGCAGGGGTTGAGCCCACAGTGCCGCAAGCTGCTCATGGAGTGGTGGGGCCAGACCCCAGCTGGGCCGGAATGGCCCAGGGCCCTTGCAGGGCTACTCAGCCAGCTTTCCACTCGTTATGGGAATACATAAACAGGCGTGATATTGTCCATGCCATCATGTATATGGCAATAGGTGCCTGTTTGTTATTATATCTTATATTTAACCAGGAGGTGAAACAAACCGATTGAGGCACATGAAACAGCATTGCTTCTTTTGCAAGGTAACTTTGGTTTAACAACAACAACACCTGCTGACACCACCTGCTCTGAAAGCATGTAAATGCAAACACTTGTCTGTGCGCATGTAACTCTAGGCATGTGTTGTGTGTGTGTGTGCGTCGTTGTGCGTGCATGGGGCCCGCACGCTCCACGTGTCCAGGTGTTCTGGTGCTGGCACGTGTGGCTCGCCGCAAGCTCCTGGAGCTGCAGGAGCGCGAGGCAGATGCGTACATCACTCACGCTCGCCGCGTGCACCACTTCGAGAGCAACCAGCGCACGTGCAACATGACGGGTGAGCAGAGCTTACAGAGCCACACCACGTCTCGTGTGTTGGAGAGACTGGAATGTGCAACCTAGGAACGGACCTTCGAGACCAGAGCTCTTTGCCTTTTGGGCCACATCTTCGTGTAACGGCAGTGGACGTGTGATCTGTGCAGTGCTGTCTATGCTGCCCACGCTGCGAGACAACATCACGAAGCAGCTGGACTGTGAGAGCCTGACGGCCGCCCTGCGCGCCAGGCAAGCTGCCCACATCACAGTCACTAATGTGCATGAGATTCTCGCTGCCCAGCTGAGAGCCGGGCGTAGCGGTGTTGTGAGCCTGTCGTCCACCTCTTGAGAAGAAAGGATTGTTGGGTCATGTAAATTTGTGATGCCCACACATCCATTGTGTTTAGAGGTAACCCGGTGATGGCAGTGCAGGAAGTGGGTTCATGAAGATGTCTGTATACGGACTGTTTGTTATCCATTGGCATGGGTTTTCTCCAGGTACATTAGTTTCCTTCCACACGCAGACACTCCCAAATACAGAAGTGGCTCAAATATGCCAGTGCAAGATCCTCATGTGGAAATGTCTTGAGACTTGGTGAGGCTTTCCCAAGTAATTTAAGCACAAGCACAAAATATTATTATTGCCATACTTTATTTGCAACTTTGTTGCAAATAATGTTCTTGAAAGTCTTACAAATATGCAACACTTTTTTGAACATAGCAATCTTCATGAGAGTGAGAATGCGTTTAGCCTGATCCCTGTAGCGTGCATGAGAGCGGCATGCAAGTAACGGTGAATGCAGTGTGGTGAGTGTGATGTGGACTGCGCAGAACAGTGAGTGTGTGGGGTGGTGAATGGTCGACTTTGTAGGATTGTGTATAACGGTGTCGTGCGAGTGACGTAAACTTTGATTGGTGGTCGTGTATGGTGAATGATGGTGCAGTTTTGTGAAGTATGTTGTTCAGGTGATGATGAGTGTGTAACATGGAGTGCTGCTGTTGCTGTGCCCCAAGACCTGCAAACAAGCTGGAAATATGGGAAGATCTTAAAATTCTGAGTGAGTATTTCAATATAATACTTAGCGCTTCTGATGTAATATTCACTGTATTGTGCTGTTCAGTCCGATCAGTAAATGCCAGGGGTTGATACATTTAAAATAGAGGGTGATAATTATCCTGCGCATATGACTGACTTACCTATAATTCACCTATTCTCATCGGATCTCAAGCTCAGCAGGTTTGAGGCTGGAAAGTGCTTTGTCGGGTGACTATTATGTACAAACGGGTTGCCACAGGGCTTGCCAGGCTGTATAGTGGGGACTAGATGTCAGTGCAGCAAAATTAGTTATACTGTATATGCTCCCATGTCTATGCTTCCCTCCTGCAACCTACACTCCGCACTGAGGTGAAGTGTGGTCAAACAATGCTGAAAGCCCCCACAGGCTTTGGGGAGTCTGCGGGGGCTGCTGCCCATTGCCTGCACCGAATTGTCGGGGCCGCTGTCCCCCGACTCCCCCGTTACGGTGCGGGGGCTGCTGCCTCCCGCCTCCTCTGTTTCATTCTCACTACTACTCCGCGACTGCTCTGTCAGGTTCGGGCTACCGACTCCCAACTCCTCGCCCCCCTGTGCTCCCGCCTTTGCTGCTGCCCGCGTAGGCATGTCTCAATCGGTAGGGCCAACGGCTTTACGTTTACGACGCGCTACGCGGGCTTAGTAGTGGGCGCGCTGCGGTGGGCGCGCTCGCGAAGCAAAACTCCGTCTTGTGCGTAAACAAAAGGCGTGCGGCGCGCCGACGTGTGACTCCCCGGCTGGCGCTTAGCCCCCGGGATCCCGTTCGCATACACGCCTTACGTGCCCAGGCGCTAACAAACCTGACTCTGCCACCTGCCCGACTCCGTACACCAATCACCCGCGAGTGCTTGGGGTCAGGGGTTAGAAGGCAGGGGTGTCCACCGTACGCGCGCCACTGATTGGAGGGAGTCACTCCGCCCCGATTTAAAGGCCGTTTAAACGGCCACGCGTGTGAGTGAACACCAGACGCTACACTCTCCTATTCGCCGTAAACAGCCGCATATGCACACGAACATAAAGCACTCCACTCACCTTTCCACACTCACAGCGACCACACGACGCAGTTTTATCCTCTACTGGCGGTTTTATTCCCCGCGAATAACCCGCTAAACTACGTGTGTTTGTGTGAGTCAGCAGACCCTAACTGGCCTATCCTTCTGGGATCCTGGACTCAATTTATTCTGCCTGGCGCTCAACTTTCTACCCTCTGATTAATTAACCCAAACTCACCTCTCCGTTACTGATGCTGACTTCCAATCTGAGGCGCCGGAGGCTGTAGAAGGGCGATGCTGTGGGTCGTCTCTGTGGAGGATTGTGCCTGGCTGCATTGAAGCTCGTCACACGGACGACTTGAACGGCCGGCTCCAACACTCCGCTGACTTCGATGACTTGAAGGACTCTAACCTTTACTGCCTGAATCCCCCTTCCTTTGTCCCACCTACAACAAAGGAATTCTGCCGTTTCGCCCCCTTGGCCTCCCGTCTAATCAGGGGCTCGGATTTTCCCGCCCTTTTGATGTTCGGATCCCAGCGCTGGTGACGTCGCCACAGTGATCTCTCCGACGTCCGCTCTCTGCTCTCCCGCTCCCCACCCACTGACTCATGTTGTGTGTGTGTGGTTCCACTCGCGATGGCTCAATAGCCCCTGCTGTGACCATGCAATTTTAATATCAGGTCACGACGCCGCGGTGCACGTCAGCCTCGGGGTAGGTCGCCCAATTTCCCGGCCGCAGGAATCCATGAAACTTGATCCCATTAGGGGCTTCTGGATGAAAACCTGTCGGCCAGGTGACCTTCCCTCCCGGCTCTACGTGGGGTATGTGTGTATTTATGTGGGGGGTGGCGAGGGGCGCACAGCGTCGGCGTCGTCACTCTCCGGTGGCGGCGTCACGGCGGTGGGCATGGCCCCGACGGAGCGGCTCCGCTGCGGTGGCACCACACAGCCCCCCGAGGTGCCAGTCCCCGTCCCGGGTTGACTGGAGCAACTCGCCTGGGTTGCCCCCACGAGGTAGCGACGTGGGGACCGCGGGACTCGTCCGGCTCTCGTGGCTGGCCTCGGCGGTGGTGGCTCCGTCTCTCGGGGTTCCAGCGGTGGTCTCCTCCTCCACTCCAGTGGTTCTCTTTGGTCCTTGGTACCTGCGGGCTGGGAGACAAACTCGGGGGTGGTAGGGTTCAGGGGCCGTCGCCCCCATCCCCCCTGGCTCGGGTCGGGACCCCCTGGGGCCCGGGGCTCCGTGGGGCCCATATACTGTGTGAATCCCCCGGGTATGGGGGGTGTGGGGACCCCGGGGATTCGAGGTACTCGAACGGCGGGGTTCTCCCACGCTGGGGCCGCCATCCATGGTTTTAGTCGCCGGACGTTGACCACCATCTCCTGGCCTCTCTCCCCCCCCCTGAATCAGTACCGTCCAGGGGAAGATTTGTCGTCCCACGGTCCAGGGTCCCCGCCAGTAGGTGGTTAGTTTCCCCACCTGTCCTGCCCCGACGCGAGGGGTGTGCAGCCATACCTTAGAGCCCGCCGAGTAGAAGGGGGGCTCCATTCGGGGTCGGGCGCCCTGCTCCTGCCGCTGGTGTGCGGCCTCGCCTTGCGGGTATGCCCGGCCCCTAGCTCCTCGTAGGGTCTCTCTCTGGTGCTCCACGGGGCGACTCCCCTCCTCCCGTTGCGGCGGAGGAACACCGAACAGCAGATCTGTGAGTAGGCGAGACTCGCGATCAAACATCATTAGGAACGGGGTCTGGCCCGTAGATGTGTGTACCGTGGTTGTGTAGGCGAACAGAGCATAGGGGAGGTGTTCGTCCCAGTCCCGTTGATTTGCGGCTGCCATGCGTTTAAGCTTCCCGGCCAGAGTCTGGTTCATCCTCTCCACCATCCCATTTGCCTGGGGGTGATACGCCGTAGTTCGGTCCTTCTGGATCCCGAACTCTCGGCACAGCGCTTGGAATAGCTCTGCCTCGAACTCACTACCCTGGTCAGTAATGACTCGTTCAGGGACCCCGTGCTTCAGTACATAGTGCTCTACGAATGCTCGGGCCACCACGAGGGCTGTCTTATCGGGGTTGGCCACCGCTACGGGGTAGCGTGTGAAGTACTCTACTGCTACGAGAATATATCGGTTTCCCCGGTGGGATCGCGGGAATGGCGCTTGCAGGTCGATTCCAACCAGCTGATTCATTCGACTGACGCGGAACGGTCTCAGGGGTACCTGATATCGCGCTGGTTTCGGCCCGCATTGCTGACATGCGCGGCAGCCCTGTACCCAGGCAGCCACGTCTTGTGCTAATTTGGGCCAGAGATACTGGCGACGCAGGGTCTCCCGAGTGCGCCGTTCCCCGTCAGGCCCCCGAGCAGGTGGCCGTGCACTAGTCTTAGCAGCTGGGGTCGCACCTGGGCGGGAACGCAAATGCACCCAGGCTGGCCGGCTTCGGTCAGCTCTCGTACCACCCCGTTCTGCACGCACAACCGGGCATACAAACCACTCCAGGGTCCTGGTAGGGCGTCCTTCTCCCGTAGAGCCGCTTCCACCGCCGCCAGATCTGGATCCCGCAGCTGGGTCCGTCTCAGCTGCTCGTCGTCCAGGCCCGGGAAGGCGCAGCCGACGTCCTTCTGGATCCGATCGGGTGGGGTTGAGCGACCCGTCGGGCCCCGGGGTGTGGGCTCCGTGCCCGCCGGGTGGTCCTCTGGGTCCCTGGTCCTTCCTGCCAGGGTCTCTGTGGCACATACTGCACTGTCTCCCATCGGAGGAGGTTTAGTCTCAGCGCGCTCCTGGGGGCCTGCCACCTGCCGGCAACGTTCCCCCGTGAAGCACGGGCAGGCTTCCTCTGTCCTTGCCTCGGCACCCATCGCGGGCCGCCTTGACAAGGCGTCCGCGTTTGCGTGCGTCCGCCCTGCTCGGTACTCAATTTGCAGGTTATACTCCTGCAACTGCACCAACCACCGGGCCATCTGCCCCCGTGGTTCCTTGAACGTAAGGAGGAACTGCAGGGCATAATGGTCGGTGCGCACCCGACATTTCCTGCCGTACAAATACGGTCGGAACTGTTTACACGCGAAGATCACGGCATACAGTTCTTGACGGGTCATGCAATAATTCAGCGCGGCCCCACTCAGGGTCCGACTGGCGTATGCGATGACCCGCTCCGTCCCACCCTGCACCTGTGACAGCACCGCGCCCAGCCCACTGCTGCAGGCGTCGGTGTCTAAAATAAAATCAGTGGTGAAATCGGGGAAAGCCAGGGTGGGGGTGTGGGTGAGGTGGTCTTTGAGGGTGGTGAAGGCCGTCTGGCAGGCCTCCGTCCACTAATAGGGGTTCTTAGGGGAGGTGAGTTGGGTGAGGGGGCGTGCAATCTCGCTGAATCCCTTTACGAATCGGCATTAATAGGTGGAGAGCCCCAAGAATGATCTGATCTCCGTCAGGTTCCTTGGCCGTGGCCATTCCACTACGGCGCGCACCTTCTCCGGATTGGTGCGCACCCCCGCCTCGCTGACTCGGTGTCCGAGGTACCCCACCTCGCGCTGCGCAAGGTAACACTTTCGCGGCTTGAGCTTGAGATGGGCTGCTCGCAATCGCTGGAACACCTCTCGCAGCCTGGACCAGTGCTCATACAGAGATCTACTGAACACTATCACGTCGTCCAGGTAAATCCGGCACTGTTCCCACTGCAAGCCCCGCATCACCAACTCCATCAACCGCTGGAACGTCGCGGGCGCGTTAGTGAGTCCGAACGGAAGCACTCGAAACTCGAACAGTCCCATCGGGCTGGTAAATGCGTTTTTTTGCCGATCCTCCTCCGCCATCTCCACCTGCCAGTACCCGGACGCCAGATCGAGGATGGAAAAATACCGTGCTCCGGCGAGGCTGTCAAAGGTGTTGTCGATGCGTGCTATGGGGAAGGCGTCGCCAAGGGTGACTGCGTTCAACTTTCGGTGATCAACACAGAATCGGGTCGACCCATCCTTTTTCGTCACTAGCACTACCGGGGCAGACCA